ACGTGGTTGTCGACACTGTTATTGCCGGGTGATTTTGGTATTTTTGGTGTAAAAAAACGACGATAGTTCTTCGTTCCCAAAAAAACCAAAAAATATGCAGAGAAAGAAAAATGCTTGGGTTTTGGGCTTGACAAAATTTCATTTTCGGTGCTGTCAGGAATAATGTATTTTTTATTAATGGTATTTATCGCAGTTTTACTTAAACACTTTTTTGAAATGTCCAATTTTCAACCTCAAATTTTTTCAAATCTTCCCTATATTTTGCATTTTTTCGCATTTGTCTCTTTTTTTGCATTTTCTATCTTTTCCCATTTGTCTCTCCTTTCATCACCACCTCTGTCATTTTTATTAGCCTTTGTTTTGATAAAAGCACCACGGTACACTGTTGTATTTTTTATTTCAGCTGAAACAGGACGATGCGTGCAGCATCAAAAATTACTTATTGTGTGCCCGGTTTCTGTAAATGCACATTTTCTTGATTTCTGTGATTTTCATTTTAACCAATCAACTCGGATTTTCGGATAATGCAGCTTTTTTTATCCAAAAATTTTGGTCTTGTTATCCAGAAATGCGAAAAAATTGGATGTTTTTATTCAAAATTGTGTTTCCGCTCTTCATCTCCCCGGTGACTATTGGAAAATTGTTTCACTAGTTAACCGAGTATTGTCTTTTTTTCAAAACTTCCCCCATTTTGTTCGAATTTTTATTTTCCGAGCACCCCGGTAACTTTTCCCACTGAAATTTTTGCTATAAAATCGAGTGATTTCTTCGTATGTTCTTTCTGTGATCTTAGTTTTCTGCAAAATTTCTTCTCAGTGCGTTTAAGAGATCCAGCGAGCGGGATTTAACCAATATGGATTTTTTGTGTTTTGAGGAAAGTTCGGCTACTTCAGACATCGTAGTTTATCGGCCAAGGGCAGGAAGTCTAAAATTTTTTTATACGGATTATAAAACTTTGAAAGATTCGAGAATGATCTGACCGGTTTAACTTGCGATAGATAGAAGATGAAACTGCTACGGGTTCTATGTGAATTAACTAAGGTGTAGTTTTCATTGTTGGTTAGGATACAACGCGATCTGGACTCGAAAGCAAAATTCTGAGGTAATTTTCTGAGGTTCTAGGGCATTCTGAGGTTTCTTGACACTGGCGGATCCAAGAGGAGGGGAGGGGGCTAGGGGTCCAAAGGGCTCAGGTAGCAGTTGTTTTACTGTACAAAAGTCTGTTCGGTACACCTTATCACCCCTTCCCCCCCCCCCTCCTCACAGGAGCTTGGCTACCCTTAGTTTAGGGTCCATCAGGAAGAGTGGGGTTACGTGACGATCGAGAGTTGGGTTGCGAGCTGGCCAAGGGGTTGTAGTGACGAAGGAAGAAGGGGAGGTAAAAAATCGCCCCCCCCCCTCTCTCTCCTCCCTCAGAAGATGGCCCTGAATCCGCCCCTATGCTGCTTGAGGTAAAATTTTGGGAAAAGCGTTTTGTTGCTGAGTCCGTTTATCCAATCTTCCATTTTCATTTGCACAAGTTACGTGGTGTTTTTTGAGCCGGTCTACTTGATTTAGAGTAACCGTTGAGGAGAATTTTTTGATTGTATAAAAAATGGTACCACTTTCACAATTCATCATTTTTGCCTACTTTTGTGAGATGGCTATATTCACTCTCTTCTTTTTTCCTGAATATCTTTTTTTTCATATCTTTATGTGATGCATTTCATTGGTGAGCTTTTGAACCGGTATGTTAGTCAAATTTTACCCGCTGATAATAATTGTACTGTGATATTGTCAGTATATCCCGTCATCTCTTTACTTTTCATCAGTGTTTGTCTGTATAGAATATAATCAACTCAAATAAAAAAATCCACGCTGTTGACTGATTGCAAAGCGTTTTTTTTTTTTTTCATGGAAATCAGAATCGAAGGGCCTGGCATAGCTGCACGTTGCTTATGAAAGTTCTCAGTAACATCATTAGTATGGGATATCCTCACTTTATTATCCGGGAGGTCTTGCTGTCATTATATGACTTACTTAAACTTATTATAATCTTATTCACATTTCCTTTTTCAGTTCCTTACATCTTACATAAACACATACCAACTAAAATTAAAATTAAAAATGGTGATGAATTTTGAATATTTGTCTTATCATTAAAATAAATAATAGAGAAATGTCTTAATGTTGGAAGAAGACAAAGCAAATAATATTAAGAAATTAGTAAAAGTTGCGAAATCTTGTAAAATACGTAATAATGGTAAGAAATGTTATCAGTCCATCACATTTTAAGCGCTACATTTTAACAATAGACCAGTTAAGTCTGAGGCTTAAGATCAATAGGGATTTGTAATAAGCCTGATTAGTGTATATTGTTCATTATCAGCTTCTACTCAATGAAAACAAAAAGATAAACGATAAATATCAACAGTAAGGGTTGTGCCGCTGGATGAGCTTTCTTCGGCTGTTTCTCCATCGCTTCTGCAAGAAATTTGAAGTTTAAAAAATTTTAGCAAAATTGAACAAACACACGACCTGCACAGTGTATTTTTATCTTTTCGTAAACTCAGTTATGTTTACATATCTTTTAGCACAGTTTGTTATATATAACAAATTATGCTAAAAAATTAAAGTATATAAAAAAATAAAATGCACTCGGAACACACACACACAGACGGGTCGAAACCCCGTCTTCCTC